AAACATGATCAAGATACAATGAAGGAACTGGTTATCAAGCATGCCCTTAGCTATTCGTACGAAACATGTAAACAACATGGTTATCAAACATAATGCCCTTAACTATTCATATGAAACCTAAAAATAAAATGGTTATCAAACGGGCCGTAACTATTCATACAAACATGATCAAAATACAGTGAAGGAAATACAAGAAAAAGTGAATTAAAGAAAAGAAACAGAATCCCACCTGAGAAAACTCAAAGAGACTTGAAGCTAATGCGGCGTTGATTAAGGCTAAACCAATTTTTTTGATCCATTTACTTTAATTATTTTTACTTTTAATCATGTTTTGTTCAGATGTTTTTTGTTTGGAGTATTTTGGTTTCCACCGTTGATCTTCCAAGAGAGCTAACAACCATTGCGTGAAATTAGGAGCACAACTCTCTCTCTCTCTCTCTGCTCTACGTCTCTATTTCCATCAGCTGGGTTTCTGTCACCTGTCCTCCACCCCTCCGTCTTCTGTGCTTCCTATTGGTGGACGTCAATGGCACGTTGAAATTGGTCTTGAATTTTCACCTCCATGGCCCAAATCCATCGTTCGCCCAAGAAATTAGTGGCCTGTGTGTTAAGGATCTCTTTCATATTGCGTTCCGAAGGGTTGAAAGTAGCTTTTTGAGAACTAACATCGTTTTTGACAGCATGTAATTTTCGGTCATAAAAGTAATTTTTGGGTGAAGCACTTAATCTAGAAGTTGCTTTATTAGTTTTAATCTCACGTGTCAACCATTGTTACCAGTACAAACCAATTGCGTCGGGGGTAGGGTAGTTATAGGGGTAGGGTTAGTTTTAATCCCACATGTTAGCCATGGTTTGCCATACAAACCATAAGTGGCAAGGGTAGGGCATTTATAGGGGGTAGGTTTAATTTTAATCGCACAGGTCGACCATTATTGTCCGCACAAAGCATTGGTGCCCAGGGGTGGGCAATTATAGGTCGTTATCAATAGGGTGTAGGGATTAGTTTTAATCTTAGAGGTCAACCATGGTTGGCCAGACGAAGCATTATTATTAAGGGTTGGACATTTATAAGCTGTTATCAACCATGAAAGAATTCACACTAAAGTCGTAACTTTTAACATAGAACCCCTTCTTAAAAAAAAAAAAATAATAATAATAAAAAACATTTCTCCACTGTGCTGCGGCGATGGAAAAAATTCAAGTGCACCAGGCGTTGAAACACGCGGAACTCACAGTGTTATTATTCACACGCCCTTAAACACTTGAACTCAGGGTGTTACTATTCACACGCCCCTAAACTCTAAACCTCATTGGCCTCCACTGCTTCTACTACGCCCTGGACCTTCCTGAGGGCATGAGTTTGGGCTTGGGCGTGAGTTTGAGCTGCGTCTCCCTGCACCTAAACCATTAATTAATTTATTTTATGTTTTATTTTTAGTTTTATTTTTGTTAAATTTTCATTTTTCCCATACCACACCACCAAACTATCATTTTCATGTTATAAAATTTATCTTCGGTGAAAGTTTTCAAACAAGGATATAAATCTAAACCTAAATCTAAAGGTATTTGAATCAAAATAAAGTAATGTAGGAAGAAAAAAATTCAATGGAAAAAGAAAAAAAAAGAGGGAAAAAAAATGAAAATGATACAATTGGTACTTTGCTACCGACCCCTTTCGAAGGGTGTCGCTAGTATATGAGCGGCGTCAATGATACCAAGTCGCTATCTTCATACATATCACTCCTTGTCAATTTTTATTTTTTTATTTTTTTTGTTAATTTTTTTTATCTCTTACCATAACAACAAACTATCATATCCATATTCTTCAAAATATATTTTTCCGTGCAAAATCTATTATAATTCATATTGAAACAATTGAAATCAACGATTTAAAACCTAAATTTATAGATATTTTTATACTTTTCAACTTTAAAAATCAATAAAAACTAGTTTAGGAACTTAATAAATGGTAGGATCACGTCCAAAGTTCTTGCAATATTTTCTTTAAATCCGACGCAAATATTTCCTAAAAGTAAAAATAAAGTTTTTTTTTTTTTTTTTACAAAAACTATGAGTTATATATATAACCCACATTTTTTCAATCGATTTTGAGAATTTTTACAACATTCGTTATAAACCAAAGTTAGAGTCATATTTGTGCCACATGTTTCCTAAAATTAATTTAGGACATTCTCAAGATTTTGGTCACCTACCAATCTCTTTGGGGGCCCCGGTATTAGCTTTCATTATTTTTTCCATTTTCAACTTTAAAAAATCAATGAAAAATAGTTCCGGGACCTAATAAAGGATAAAATCACATCCAAAGGTCTTGCAACATTTTTGTCAATGCCGACGCAAAATATTCCTAAAACTAAAGGTTTCAATTTTTTTACAAAAGCTGTGAGTTATAACCCACGTTTTTCAATTGATTTTGAGAACTTTTACAAGATTCATTATAAGCCAAAATTTGAGTCATTCTAATTGCACCACATGTTTTCTAAAATTAATTTAGGACATTCCAAAGATTTTTGACACCTACAAATCTCTTTGGGGGCCTCGCTATTAGTTTATATTAATTTTTTTCAACTTCAAAAATCAATAAAAAAAAGTTTCGAGGCCTAATAAACGGTAAGATCACATCCAAAGATCTTGCAACATTTTCGTTAACTCATATGCAAAATATTTCCTACAACTAAAAATTTCAATTTTTTTTGCACAACAACTGTGACCTATATAACTATCACATCCCGCCCCGGGATGTGACAATTTTGTAGTATCCCACATCGCCCGTGAGGGCGTGGTCTTTGGGCCTTATATATCCATTGCCAGCATGTACCTTTCAGTGAGGCCTTTTGGAGCTGCGGCTTGCAAAGACAAAACCGTGAGGTAGCCCTCTGCTGCGACCTAGTCCAGAGGGGGAATGCCAAAGCGGACAATATCACTGCGAGGGAGGGCTGGGATGTGACAAATTTGGTATCAGAGCCTAACCCTAACCGTGGTGTGCCGACGAGGACGTCGGGCCCCTAAGGGGGGTGGATTGTGACATCCCACATCACCTAGGGGAGTGGATCATATAAGTCTTATATGTATATTCTCATCCATAACTAGCACAAGGCCTTTTGATTTAGGTTTAGATTAATTATATTTAGGTTCAAATACCTTTTTTTTTTTCCATTGAATTTTTTTCCTACGTTATTTTATTTAGGTTCAAATACCTTTAGATTTAGGTTTAGATTAATTATATCCTTGTTTTTGAATTTTTTGACATGGATTATAAGAAGATTTTTACCGAAAATACATTTTGTAGAACTAGGAGTTCATCCCGTAAACCTCAAAGTATTGCCCGTCATTTTTTTCTTCTTGGTGCCAAAATCTTGCCCGATGAATAAAAGTTTACCCTACGAATACTTTCCGTCTCGTAATATGTAAACCCTAAATGTTGACCAAATTTCCTCTGCAAACTGAATATTTCGTCGGGTAAAGATCTTTTAACCAATTAAAAGAGTTTCGGCGTACAAGCTGTTGTAGGGCACCTTCTGGCAAGGTAGAATTTTCTTGTGCTTACTTTTCGCTGTGTATTCGTTACGTGTTTAAAGTAGTCAATCTAATGATGCTTCTATTAGACCTTAATTCCATGAGGCTGAAGTGATTGAGACCTCAGTCTATCTGCCTTTTTCTTCTGATTGTTGTGGTTGTCTCCATATGGATGCTATGACAGCATACACTTTTGATAAATTTGATATCTAACTAGTTGTGTCATTGTGGTGTAGTGTGGTGTTGCTTTGTTATGAATGTAATCTAATAATGCCTCGTAAATATCGTATCGTAATCTAATAATGCCTCGTAAATATCGTATCGTTTCTGAAAAAAAAAAACCTAATTAGGCATATCCGAGATTTGATTGTAATAATCCATGTAAAGATAAATTATATCTTACAATTTTTGTTTGGTAACATATTTTCATATACCGTGATTCAACTTTAACAGTAGAGTACTTATCCTCAGCAGGATATAACTTAATTCTTGCTCTTTACTTCTCTTAATAAAACCAAAAAACTAATATAATTATTTGAATAACTGGAGAGTTTTCCGGTAATATTAGACACATATCCTTCAATTTTCGTATCGAATAAAATTTAAGGTCTGTAATTTGAGTGAGTAGAAGTGAGAACGAACCTCGTTTACCCTGTTCAACCTCACCCTGCCCCTTCAATCAAGTTAGTACTGAACCAATCATGACAATTGTCAAGTCAAGCAGTTGGATTCTAAATAAAGGGCTCCGACCATAACATTGGAAAAGGATCCACTTCGGATCCTCTTTGTGGGAATCCGGAGATCAATCAATTACGTCCGCTTATCATAAATCGTGCGATCAGTTTTTGTTAGATACTATTTCTATTTAATTTTAAATTTTAAATTTTAAATGATTTCTGACCGCACGATGTACGATGAACGGACATGATTGATTGATCCCCGGATCCCTACAAAGAGGATCCGAAGAGTATCCTTTTCCCATAACATTTTGTGTATCACAAACATCAAAGATGGATGTGAATGATATTTTAAGTTGCTCTCGAGCAATCACATGAATTCAAAGCCTATTGGAAAAGGAAACGGATATTGATTGTCACTTTCGTTTCTTCTTTTGCACTCTATTTTTCCCCCTTTCTTAATTAGGCAAATGCATGTTAGACGAGTTGGTCAAGGAAGTATACCAAATCACTTGCGCTCAAGTTCAAATAGTGCTTAGAGATGAAAATAGAGTGTGAAAATCACTAACATGAAAATGCACTTCGAAGTAGTCAGCACTACTAAGTAGCAAAAAATGGATGGCTAAAACCGAATTGAGAAAATACTATTTTTCTCGTCAATCTAATAGGCCTAGTGCTTTATCAATGGAGATGAGCCCAAAACTAGAGCCTCACGAATCGTAAGCCCAAAAACCCAAAAGCCCAAAAACCAGAAGCAGCTGCAGACAGCAAAGAGCTGCGAAACTGCGAAAATCGAAGCCAAAACGGAGAGAGAGTGAGCAATCCAAAACTGCGCGAGAAAAATGGGGCGGAAGAAGGGAGTGGTGGACTTCGACGAGTCGCCGCCGGACGACTTTGATCCGGCTAATCCGTACAAGGACCCGGTGGCGATGCTGGAGATGAGGGAGCACTTGGTGCGGGAGAAGTGGATTGACATCGAGAAGGCCAAGATCATCAGGGAGAAACTCCGTTGGTGCTACCGCATCGAAGGCGTCACCCACCTCCAGAAGTGCCGCCACCTGGTCCACCAGTACCTCGAGTCCACTCGAGGCATCGGTTGGGGGAAGGACCACCGTCCTTACGAGTTCCATGGTCCGCCAGCGTACCCTATCCTTTCCCGTCATTTGCCAGTTTTCTTAATTAATTGACATTTTGTTTTTGTTTTTGAGAATTTCAGGTCCGAAGCCGGAGCCTGTGGAGTCTGAGTGATCGATTTCAGGTACTTGTTTCTTGTGTTTTGAGCTCCCAATTTGGTAATGTGATTGCAATTTTTTTTGTTTGGATTTGAAATTTCAGTTTTTGGAGTGTAATTTTAATCAAGTTCGGGGCTTTTCGATTCCATTTGCTCGTTTCTGCTTCGAATTAAGACCCGGGTTTTCGTATTTTGATTCTGGTGAGGCATATGATTTAGGGTTTTAGGTTGGAGTTTTATTCAAACAGAAAACGCTAGGAAACATGAGAACACTTGGATCGAAACGAGACTGTCAGCAGGAACAAATGCTTAACAGTTTTAGTTTTTGAGAATTGATAGAATGGTCAATCCAATTCTGATGAATCTTTGCTACCTAGCGATAGTTCGATTCAGATAATAAACATGAGAACACTTGGACCATAAAACCAAAGACATGAATCTACAAACTTCTGGGGTTTACTCCTGCAACTTCCTTTATTGCGTTATGGGGCATTTTTCCTTTATGATTCTTTGCATATAATGTCTATTTTTCCGCATCTAAGTTTTTGGACGGTTCATTGAAAGGCTTGAGCAAGTTGAAAGTCTTCAACTTGGAATGCTTATCATCTTTAATTTGGTAGGGTCTACGGTAACTTTTGGAAACAGAGTTATGGTAAACAAATCGGTAATGGTTCAAGTTGAGAAAGCATAAAGCATGCGAATATTGTGTATATATGCGTTCTGGTGTTCAGGCCTGTTGGTGGTATGATCTTCAAGTCTCTCAATCTACTCATTTGATTTTGACTTTGGAGTTGAGTTATGGAACTAAGAAGGTTGCTTGGGCAATCTTGCTATGAACCTTCATTTTGTTTTGAACATTTAAGTCAAATTTGTTGAATGACATGAATACTGAGCTTTGCTAGCATCACTCTTCGTGCAGATTTAACATGAATTGTGAAATTTGTTGCTCGACTTGGAGTCCAAAATTTCTGTGGTGTGATATGTTCGGTGTTGTATGTGAATGAAGAGGTCGGCAGTTATAACTGGTTTACTTATTATGTTTTCTTCATGCAGGTGAGTAAGTTTGGGCTGCAGTGAAATGCAGAAATTGGAGGGAAGTTGGGGATCACAACATCACGATTTCGTTGTCTGTTATCATCTCTAGACTTTGTAAAACCAGTCTTATCTCTTCTTTGTTGTTACAGATTTCGGGCCAGATTTCAGGCTTCGACTTTTCACTAGATTATCTTGCTTGTTAGCTTCCAAAATCTCGATTTCAACCAGGCCTCTGCCTATATAGAAAAGAATAAGTTTCTTGTTTTTTGATATGTAAGAATGATGGATCATAAATCTTGAGCACACTCAAGTCTCACGGAAAAACAGTTGCTAATTCTCTAAAGCATTACAATTTGTGTTTTTATTGCGGTCCTTTCGGCAGTTGTTGCTCCTCTCAACTTGAAGGTTGTAACCCGACAATTGCCGAGTACTTCAAAGTGTTGGTAGTTTAACATGCAGGGTGATTGGAAGAAGAAAATCGGAAAACCCGAAAAGTTTTCAATTTCATCCGGAGCACACGTTCTTGTGTTGAGTAAAACCGCATCATCCCCGCTAGCTCCAAGTCTCCTTCTTCTTTCCTGTCAAGCAGATTAATCAAATCTTAATGAAAATTAAGATAGTATAAGTAACATCCGACGATTATCAGCGACGAGAATATGACAACTATGAGAATGGTTGGTCTTTAAAGCAGACAACAGAAAGAAAAGAAAATCATACACTTGACTCTGTTAATTTGGCGTCATGATGCCGGTGGTGGCCGGAGCTCCCTTCAGTCCAATGGGCAGACCAAGCGGAAGGAGTTGCTCCCACACCGTGCACCGGGCCAAACCCTTAACACTCAGTATATCGATCATCTCTCATGCAACAGCTAAATTGAGTTCTACAGCTGCGCAGGCAGCACAGCAGGCTCCTAGGGTTGGGAAAAGTAAAGGGAGTAGCCAAATGCATGAGAGGACAGCTCTAGCCACTCCTCAGCCCTCTGAATTGGTCCGAAGGGAGTTCCCTCTCCGTCGATCCATCATATTCACATATCGATATCAGCTCCTCAAGATCGATCGCTTATATTGCAAGTAATCTAGCTCGTCCCCTCGCTCTCTTCTCTCTCAATGCTAGAAAATGTCCCTCTCTCTCTCTCTCTCTCTCTCTCTCTCTCTCTCTCTCTCTCTCTCTCTTCCTTATATAGTACACAACGAACTTTTAACTCCCGATGCTAGAAAATGTCCCTCTCTCTCTCTCTCTCTCTCTCTCTCTCTTCCTTATATAGTACACAACGAACTTTTAACTCCCGATGATGATCACAGTATGGGAATATTCTTAACCATGATTCTCTCTCTCTCTCTCTCTCTCTTTCTCTCTCTCTCTCTCTTCCTTATATAGTACACAACGAACTTTTAACTCCCGATGATGATCACAGTATGGGAATATTCTTAACCATGATACATAATAACGTATTGAGGAGTGATAGGTTTTGTCCTCAACAAATATATCTTCTAGTAAGAGCAAGGAGACGCATGCACCTCATTGCTTTGTTGTTGACATTCTAAATGAATCATTCTACACTGATCATATGTAATGAAAACGTAATTTAGAAATTACATTTTGAAGATTACATGATAGCATTTTTAGTGCATGCTCGTATTAAAAAAAAAAAAAAGAGAGAAAAAAAAAAGGAAGAAATAAATATGAAAACTGGTTTTACATCATGGTGGCTTTCTTGTCATCTTAACCTTCTTCGGGCACGCCACGGCAAGACAACCAATGAACCGAACAGTTATACAAGATTTCTTTTCAACGTTTACTAACGGCACTGGAAGGTCTAGATATGACATATTGAATCAGGGTTTTTTTAAAGAAAAACTTATAGAATCAGAAGTGATCTTCACACTATCTTTTGACTTTATATACTTTCTACTTAGTTATGTCTCTTATTTTTCGTTAAGAATAAGCTACCCCATGTCCTTGAGTGGGAGCAGAATCCAAAGTATTAATCTAGACTCTTAACAAAGTGACTTTGTTGTATGATCGCTCTTAACAAATTGATTAGCTAGTTAATATTCAAGTTACATAAGGGTTCGTTTAGAAGTCCTTTTAAAATAACTCGAAGTATTTTTGATGAAATTGATTTTGAGTTTCAAAAACACTTTAGTTGCTTTTTAGAAAAATGACTAAATATATGTTTCTTGCAAAAAGTACTTAAAAGTTTTTTTTTTTTTTTTTTTTTTTTTTAGGGTTCACTTGAACTTTTACAAAAGATTGGTTTCAAAAGTATTTTTCCCCAAAACGATTTTAATCATTTTAAAAGTACTTCCAAACGAGCCATAATTCTACATCCTACATATACATAATTGGTTGTGAGGCAAACACTACATCGAACTTCAATAATCCAAACGGTCTATTTTTCAGGTTGCACCTTATAAATTATCCGTGCAAAATATTAGCCAAATCGGAAATATGTAAGATATCTAATTGAGTTCAAAGAAATTAATGAACACTTTGTTCTATAAGACACAATGAAATTTCATCGTGATAATTAAATAGGCAAATGGTTTCGAATTGAATTGAATTTTTACAAGCATGATCTATGAATAGAAACTTACAAAATCAACAGTTAGGATTGTTGAAGTTCAATGTAAAGTGAATTCCACAATTAATCCCTATTTAAAAAAAATAATAAAATGAAATCTCATTGCATAAAGAACCTGTATGTATGTATATACACAAACCTACGTGTACTTGTCGATGTCAATATAAGGCATATAATCAACTATAAAAATATTATGGAAGACGTGTAAGAAGAAGACGTAATGGAAAATTTTGATTAATTTTACATATAATTAGTCTAAAATCTTGATAATAAGCTGTATTTTAAACTATATTAGTAGTTCACATCGCATCCCATGTATGCAAAATTATAATAATTGTGTTGATTTTGTATTTATTTTTTATATTACTTGACTTGAGAAAAGGATTGGTGGTTGATTGCTTTGAAAGAAGCTCAATAAACGAATAACCTTCTTAAAATCATAAAAAAAATATTCCTGTTCCAGGTTGAGATCAGTTATATATATATAGTAACGAACTCCATGTTAGAAAAGGACTGGTGGTTGATTTTGTATTTATTGTTTATATTACTTGACTTGAGAAAAGTATTGGTGGGTGATTGCTTTGAAAGAAGTTCAATAAACGAATAACCTTCTTAAAATCATAAAAAAAAATACTCCTGTTCCAGCTTGAGATCAATTATACATACATACATACATATATATAGTAACAAACTCCATATTAGAATAAGTTATAACTTTTCTTTATCTCATCATAATTAATGAAACACGTCTCCATATATTGTCAATCAGTAAAAAAAAAAAATAATGCAATATCACAAAAAAAGTTTAAGATGAACTATAATATTTATCTAAACTAGTTTGGGACAATGCTTTAGTTTTAAGAGTTGATGCTATAAGCTTGTACTTACATATGTGCAAGAAATAAAATACTTGGCGCCCAAGAAATTCTATTTAGAAAACACTAGCATTTGTTAAGGGTAAATAAGTCAACAAATAATAATTTTTAACTACACTTTTATTAATATAATAACATCCCTAGCTATAGATTCGATTTGGTCACAACTTTATAACTTTATAGAAGTTTTACTATACTAAAATGGTAATGGAGTTGAACGCTGCTTAAGATGTTTCCATTGGGCTTTCACTAGAGTGGGCCTAACTCCAAGCCCAATTGGTCATCTATGGTTGGTAACCCCACTGCAAGTACTCCATAGTTTTCTCCAAGGTTTTCAAAGACATAAAGCGCAAATCGGGTAGTGAGTTGGGGCCTAGTGGTTAGGCGGTTAGGCAGGGCTAAGGCGGACTAGGTGGATTTAAGTATATATATTCTATAAATAAGTGTTTATTTATACTTAAAAAAAAAAACGTAATTGCATTATATAAAATAAAATGACATATAGAATAAGGTAATAGAACATGTTAAAAATATGGGGACCAAGGTGTTCATTCAAGTATTCAACAAGTCTCTTACAATTTATTGAATAAAAATAAAATGCAAAATAAAAGTTTTCTATTTTCTGTCTAAGTAAGAGTCATGACCTATACAGGTCTAAGTGGGCAAAGTGGGTGCCTAGTTGGACACCTGAGAAAGCTTAGGTGCCCTTATTAATTTTCAAACTCTTAAGAATTAATCGGGAGGCAACGCTAAGTGGTGATTTTTAGAGACGTGGTTTCCTTTATGTATTATCTTATTTTTAGTTTTTTATTTTCTTTTTTTTGGTTGTCACCACCACCACAATACTACTAAACCACTACCACCTCAACCATACCCGCTATTACTACTACCACAACCATAAATGCCAGTTTAAGGACTGAATTAAAAAAAAAAAAAAAAAAAACACCATTCATTCATTTATATCCATGTAATAATTCAGAACCAAATCAGTATAGAATGGGGCTTAGGGTTTTTGTTTGGTGGTCCTCACCCACGTGCATTATCACTTTCTCCTTCTCTCGTGAGAAACACAACCACGTTTTTCCTTTTTCCACAAGACTCTATTGATGCAAATATCTGACAAAAAAAGATCGTCTTCTTATTGGTATTGCTTAGCTAGTAGGGAGAAACCCTAATTCTTATTCCAAGACATTTATTTGCGTTAACTGAATCTACCAATTAACAACTGCATGAAATTTACAGTGGTGAATGTCACCCAATGCTGGAATCTGTTGATCAACTTGGCCAGGTTTTGTCAATCTTTTTTTTCCCTTTTCTCTCTTCAAATTTAACTTTTGCCAGTAAAATGAATCAAAATTTAACCGTGCTCCCAAAAACGTGGATAAAAAAAAGGGAAAATTAGGTTCACATCTTTCTTTTTGTTACTCCATTGATTAAAATCCTATTCATTTTGAATTTCTGATCAAGGTCCTTGGGTATTAATAACATCATTAATTATTTGAATAATAAAATGTTTTTATTTTTAAATATATTCCTTTAGTGTTAAAAATGTTACAATTAGTATATTTATATTTATGGCTAAATTTTTATCATATATTTTTATTTTTAATTTGTACCTATTTTTAATTTGCAAATATTTTTTAATTTGTACCAATTTTCTTTTCATTTTTAATTTGTACCCATATATTAGTATCTTTTTGTGCCCATATTTTTTAAAGTTTTATTTGTGTTTGAACTCATATGTACATCATCACGTAACATTGTATATTTAATCAATGGTAGAAAAATTACATATGGTATATTTATGTTTCATGCCAAAACTTTGTATCATATATTTATATTTTTAGTTTGTACCCACTTTTAATTTGCAACATTTTTTTTTTAATTTTTAGTATTTTCTTTTTA